TTTTCAGGGACGTGATCTTTTACTGATTGCCAGGACTTTAATAGACTAGCATGGAAATTATTAAGTTTTATTGCCATATTCATTGTATCCGAAATTGCTATCCAGTAAATCTTCAATCTTGCCAAATTTGTCTATCTTGTTTTGCAAAAAACATTTCCAAGGAACTAAAACACACTTACATAAGGGAAGGGATCGGGCATATGTACAACTGCAAATTACTTTATTTTCACTAGAAATTTATTTTCGCCGATGAATCAGTGAAAATAAAATCCAGCGAGGACACAAGCGGCCTTTTCCCTATATTTTAGAGTGTCGGCAAGGGGTATTCTCGTAAGCTGTAATCAATTGTTCTTATTTTCGTAATACTAGTAATATAATTTAAATGAATAAAAAAAAAACGTAAATTCGTAGACGTGGGCAAGGTGTAAAATTCAGCTATTTTATTCGTCCGTAATTTGTACGAAGGTCTTATTTTTTAAGCGTATAAATAATTTTCCACATTCAATTTCGTAATTCGTACGCAATTTCCAACTTTGATTCGTAAACACAAATTATCAAATATATTATAAAAATGTACTTAGGAATATGCTTTATCTGCAACGCGTAAAAACCTATTTTTTTTACTGTAAATGGAACTTTCATTTTATTTCCTGTACCAGGTTAGCTATACCACCTTGCCCCCCTCATTTTACATTAAATTTCAAAAAAAATCTGTGAAAATAAAGTTCCGATTCTTTTATATAATTCCAGCTAAAATAAGATATTTCACAGTATGTATTGACAGTGGTGTCGTTAGAACAGAATGGTCGTAACCTGGCCTACTTGTACTGTCAGGTTTATTATAATTTATACGCCATGTTTTAAAGACCCCCCCTCACTTCCGTCCGAGTCCGGATATGTGAAATTGATAACGATGTGTCATTTGCGCCGGGGTCAAGGTTTTGACATGAATACAGCCTAATTTGTGACATGGCATTGGAAGTCTGGATAATTACTTTTTGGTACTTGTTTGGTGAATCTGACAGTATGGACGTGAGGGGGCGTATGCTTGACTGACAGAGTCAGGACAATTTATTTCTTTTTAAAGTTTAAATTAAATACAAATATCGCGAAATGGGGGCGTTAACACGAAATCACTCATTGTGGTTTCGCGTTCACCCCAAATTTCGCAAAATAACTTTTTCTAAGTGTTTTATTATTATAATTTAACTGAATGAAAAAAAATCACCACAGCTGGGCCAGTATAGGCGTACCACTGCTTGTAATCAATCACAAATGGCAACATGGCACAGAACTTAGTATGCACGACTGCGTTCTACGAATAATCATTTTAGTTTTATTCAAAATGTATGTCGACGTTTTTTTTTTGTACACAATCGACCTGTGTTTTGAGTGAAAACAATCACAAATATTATGCACAATAACACTTATCGATTCAGACACAAAAAAGGTGCAGTTATCCATGTACCACCGTAAATTATAATCACGTATAACAGCCTGACACATAGTGTCATAGCTGTCGTGTTTATTATAAATTATGTTCAATGTACTCAGTCCTCCGCCATAGATAAAATTATTATTGCAGGTGTTAGGTATACCAGCAAGATGAATGCGTGACATTTTTCCCGACGTGTCCAAATAGCGCCACCTCAGTTGGGGGTGTGGCATGCACCACAACGAGACCTTTTACAGACGACATGTTTATATATATGTTGTGAGCACATGACAAGAGACACTCCAGTGAGCGATTAACTGGAGTTGACTTCGTAGACGTTAGAACATACACGATGGCGGTAAACGGTGTCCACACATCGCCATCGTACATTCTAGGCATAGATCTTGGTACGACATCGGTGAAAGCCGCTTTAATCGATCGTGATACCAAAGAAGTCGTGAGTTCGGTGTCGAGAGAAACGTGTGCGGGAGTTTGTAGCGATCTCGGAATACTCGGCAACGAACAGGACCCGAGTAAAATAATCCGTGCCTGCTCAATGTGTGTTTCCGGACTTCCAAAACACAGCCTGATTAAAGTCTCTAGCATCGGTGTTTCGGGTCAGATGCACGGCTGTCTATTGTGGAAAAGTGGAGAGGGCTGGGCGCGGAGGGGCACCGGTCGTTTGGACGTCGGCAAGTGTAGTCAGTTGATCACTTGGCAGGACCAGCGGTGCACCAGCGATTTCCTGCGATCACTGCCGGCCCCGAAGTCCCATTTACGACTGTCGACCGGGCATGGATGTGCCACTCTCTTCTGGATGAAAAGAAACAAACCCGATCTACTGGACTCCTATGACTGTGCCGGGACTATTCAGGACTTTCTAGTGGCCATGCTGTGCGGTCTGGAGAAGCCGGTAATGTCGGTTCAGAATGCCGCCAGCTGGGGATATTACGACACCGTCAATAAAGTATGGAACTCAGGAATGTAAGTACCGCTTTATTTAGTAGTTTATAAAGTTAGGTTATAAAAGAGCAACGTACTATTGTTGGCAATATTAGCTGACATCCTTTTCATACATCTTTCGCCCGGTCTGTTGACATCATCAGTCACTTATTTCACTGCGTTTACTGTTTGCCCAAATGACAAACGCGCCCGAGTAGAACACGATACGATTGACAACTGGGTTAACATTAGATCCAATAACTTGAATACAAAGTGGGCTAATTGAAGATGAAGGGTAATGTCAGCTGATGTATACATTTCTTTATGAGACACTGAAGTTGACGGGTTTCACAGGACCTGTGTGAGTAATTGAGTTAGTGCCTAATCAAATTTTGAGTAAAAACTTGCGCTTTGAAAAAAAAAAATGTTAGTCTTGGTTTAGCACACATACAAATCTTCTTAGATTGAAAAATGTTGAAATAGCCATCTTTCTTAATATGTGTTTTGGTATATCTCAATATAACATTGTATGTCTTAATTACCGCCTTAATGGGCAGTGGTTGTCCGGCAGTGTCTGCTCGTAAACGATTTTACATGCGGTGTATAGATCACTATGAGTCCCATATTGAACACTACGCAGCTTGTAGACTATGCCGTTTTAATCAGCTGAAATTTTGTATGTATACATGTATGACTCACTGTAAAAGTTCTGTCTCATTCTTAACATGATGAAATGATGAGCTAGGATGAATTCAATTTTGTTTATACATTTTTTTTTTTGCTTGCATTCTTCTTGTGAGTACTGTGAAATACTTTATTTTAGCTGGAATTAAATTTCGCTGAAAAGGCATTTTGGGTGTTTTGTATAGAATTTATTTTCACTGATTTTTGACGAGTTGAATGTGAAATATAGGGAAAAATATATTCACTGGATTTTATTTTCACGGAATCATCCTTTCAGCAAAAATAGCGAAAATAAATTCCAAGCGAAAATGAAGTACAAAAAAAAGTATTCCACAGTATATGGTGAATAAATAGTGAAAAAATAAATTTACAATAAAATAAAAATAGGATAGTGAATCTGGATCTTTTTGATTCATTGATATTCACAGCTGAGTGTGATTTTAAACCTTAATTGCATTGAGATGTGTACTATATTAAGAACTGTGTAATAATAACTTTATTACGCAACTTAACCATCTGTGGGTTTAGTAAGGTCTAAAATGATTACAAAGACAAATAAAATAAGACACACTAAAACACTAAAAATTAAAATACACGGAAATTCAACAAAAGAAAGAAATCAAATTTAGAAAAAGATGATTAAACAGCAGCAAGGTTCTCCCAGACCACAGTTACATATTTAACTTTAGAAAATTGTATTTTTAAATACTATGATAAAGCCATATTATTTCCTCATTGTTTTCACAAAGCTTTCCATTCTAGACAACTCATAAATTTTTATTTTAAAATACTTCAAGACATGTTATCTCTACTTCATAGAAATTGCAATCTAAGATTGAAATGCATTTCATCTTCAATTTGATCTGAATTGCATTTTTTGCAAGTTCTTTCATTTTTGGGGGTTTTTGGTTTACTGATTCTTCCCAATTCCATTCCAAGGTTGTGGTCACTAAGTCCGAACTTTGCTAAAACTCTACGTTGGCTGAAGTTTTTCATTTCATTTAGATAGTTTTCCAATTCAAAATTTTGTTTAAATATACTGTATGTTCTAAGTTTGTTCCCCTCTTTTTTAATAAATTGTTTTCTCCATGATTGAATAAATTTATTTGTTGATATACATAATGGTTCAATTCAAATTATGTTAATATACTGTAAAATATTTTATTTTAGCTGCAATTAATTTTTACTGTAAAGACACTTTGGCTGTTTTGTATATGGAGTTTATTTTGACTGGTTTTGATGAGTTGAATGTAAAATATGTGAAAATAATTTTACCGGATTTTATTTTCATTCTTTCATTAAAAATAAATTACAAGTGAAAGTAATGGACATTACACTAAGTAAATTTCATTATGTAAGGTCTTTTGAATACCAACAATGCCATCGTAATCTAATTTGCATACTTGTCATGCCTGGCTAATAACAGTCTTCTATAGTATTTACACGCCATTTATAAACTTAGAAATGATAATAATTATGTGAAATTAATTGCAATTAAAAAAATATATATTTTCATCAAACTTGCGAACTTTTGACTTTTTATGGTTGTTATGTCTTCCTTTTTCATTACTTCTAATGGAGTTGCCATGGTTGCAAGTGATGATGATGATGAGTGGAAAATGTAGCCATGTTGATGTGAAATAAATTTAGTTAATCTACCATGTATACAACATTCTAAACTGCTTGAAAATTCAACACATGACCACCTAGCTACTTTGAAATAATTAAATAAAACAGAATTACAGTTGGTCATGGTACTCCAATTCAGTTAAGGGCCCAAAATTTGTTTACAAACACAGCACAAATGGACACCGAGTGATGACGATTAAGCCCTGTTTTGTTTCCATTACATCTGTTTTTACGAAGTCGTATTAGTGTTATGAAGTAGTTATACCAGTACTCCCTTCTAATGAAGTTTGAACTCCACCACTTTACCCCTTTACGGCGGCGTAATATTTACACCTATTTTGCTCTTACGCTGACTTCGATTATGGGCGTAAAGAAACAGATGAGAACATCCTATAGCTATATCAAATTTTACACAACTCTTAAGATGCAACTAAGGCCAAATACAAATTTTATTGTGGTTCCTATAACCAGCTTTTTAAAAAGAGAATACATAGGTATATTATTAGGTATATATATATTATATTATTTTAGTTATGACAGTGTTTCATATTTTTTCTTGCGTATAAGGACTGTTTTTAGATACAAGTGTCATAAAGCATGTTTAAAGTTGTTTGGATTTCTCAGTTTTGCAAAGAATTTCTGTAAAACCTCATTCAAAGCCAGACACAGTTTTTATCAAATATGACCAAAAAAAGGATAGAAGGGGTTTTATGGGAACCACAAATTTTTTTTATTGTAGGCCTAAAATAACCAAAAAAAGAGACAAATTTGACTTGAATTCCTACTATATTTCTCGCTTCCTTTGTGTGTCCCGAAAGGATCTGTCAAGAGGTGTTAGATTTTATCTTATACACTGGGAGTCTGAGTGATAATATTAATGCTGATTCTGATAGACATCACATAAATTATGCGGATGACACAACTTTATGTAACACTGAAATCATCCAAGCATCACTGATATCTGTACACGGGCTGTCACAAACAAACTCGTGCCTAACGATGCCAAAACAGAAGTAGTTCATGTGAGCCCAGAATCAATCTCAAAGATCTTGGAGTCATTGACAACAGTGTGCAATTGAAACAGCACATCAAAAACATTTACAAGTCAGCTAACTTTGAAATCTACAAAATTTGGGAAAATTCGCAAACATCTGAAGACCAAATCCACTCATTTGTTACATCAAGTTTAGATTATATAGGTTCATTGCTTTATTAGTTACCATCATCTCAGCTTGAACCACTACAACGTATCCAGAATTCTGCTCCTGGATGCCAGTCCATAAACGAATTACAAACAAAATACTACTGCTAACATCTAAAAACTATAACAACCTTGCCCTATCTTATATTACTCAACTCATTGCTCCACATACATTTTCATGTTAAACGTCATCCTACTAAACGATACTTTCTAAACCGAGCTCCCTGTTCAAGAACTACGGTGGTAGCGCTTTCCCAGTTGCAGCTTCTAAATGAAAACTCATCTTTTTCGAGACGCATTAACTGACTTATTCTCCTCACTCCTGGTTGGCTCTGTTAAGTGCTTTGAAACCTTTGTTATATGCGCTATATTAGAATTATTATTATTACTGCGGCGAAAATATTCTAGCTAATAGAAATCTTTTAGTACGTACTTGGTAGATTAAAAATAAAAGCGTATTGATCTCGAAAGTACATTTCTCGGATCAACAAGTGTCCAATCACTATATGTTCAAGAGTCAGCGCATATAATATATTGATCTTTGAAACTGCCTCAATATTAAAAAATGAGAATTATATTCCACCTCAGGGAAATTCAGTAGGGTTTGTAAAACCACGTGTAATTAGCTACACATTCTGTAGAGTGAAATATATCGCACCCTCTGGTCGTAAAAAAAATGTAACTGTCGTGAATATCAATTAGGTATTCACTGGTTTTGGCCCTCACCATATGCATCAGATTGGCTGCTATGATTTTTGTCTTCACGGCATGACGGTGAGTTGATTGGCTGATAAAATATAGCTGGCGTTTGTAAACTGTTACTGTGATTTTTCACGATGATAAAAATACAATGACCTAATTCTTCAAATTAATTTATACGGGTCAGCCCTCTATTTTAGAATTTATTGTTACAAGCATAGGCCCTCCAAAGGCATTTAATTTGGGATCCATGGAATAAGCAGCTGCAGCTGGCTTCTTGCAAAAAAAACAAATATATTTCAGAACAAGATTTTGTATGTATGCTGTACTTTTACCAGTTTTATTGGATACCGGTACATTTACTTTTCCCTCAGTGTATGTCTGTGTGATTATGTATACAGGGTTTGTTTGTGAAAAATAGAATGCCAGTGCTGAAGAAGAAAACTTAAACAACATTGACAAGTTTATAATTCCGTAAAAACAAAGTGGACATTCACAACACAGTAAAACCTCTTGGAAACCAACTGAGAGGTGAATGTCAGGTGTTTCGATAAGAATGAGCACATCTGGCTCTCCTGCAACAATCACATAAATACGCAAGTTTTCAGGAAATCATTTTTTACAATGTGAAAACATAAAAAAGAAATTCAATCCTTTAGGAATTACATAGATAGCAGTCTAAGGTATTGAAAAGTACAATTATGATCGTGGAAGCATTGAATTGGCGTAGAACCTAATAGCTGTACGATTGCAAACATTTTTCTGGATGGCTGCCATGTCTATTTCGAAAAAAAACACAAAGAGAGTTATAGTAATGGTGGCACTGATT